GACACCAGGAGGGCAGTGCCAGTGATCATCGTGGGCGGTGCACTCCCCGCCATCGCCGCCATCGTCGCCGCCGGCCGGAGGAGGGGTCGTAGGGTCAGAGGGCGAGCCGCCAGGAGGGAAAGCAGGTTCTTCGACGCCAGGAGGACAGTGCCAGTGGTCATCATGAGGAGTGCATTCTTCCTCGCCGCCATCACCGCCGCCGCCCGACGGAGGGGGAGTGGTGGGAGGGCCAGGCTCACCTCCAGGAGGGAAGGGGGGTTCCTCCACACCAGGGGGGCAATGCCAGTGGTCGTCGTGGGGCGTGCATTCCTCATCATCATCGGGGGGCGATGGAGGCGTGGTTGGGGTAGTCGTAGGACGAGTGGTGGTAGGCTGACCTCCAGGCGGGAAAGGGGGTTCCTCGACGCCTGGCGGGCAGTGCCAGTGGTCTCCGTGCGGCGTGCAATCGTCCTCCTCCTCCACGGGGGGCGTCGTCGAAGGCGAAGCGACAGGAGGCTCTCCCCCGGGTGGGAAGGGGGGCTCCTCAACACCTGGCGGGCAGTGCCAGTGGTCGTCGTGAGGAGTGCACTCTGTGTCGTCGACGGGCGGCGCTGTGGCTGTGGGTGCCGCAGTAGAGGTCGGATCGCAGTGCCCTAGCGTTACTGTCAGCTCTTTCATTCTTGTGTACCGGCTCGAGTCGATCTACTTACAATGGTCTTGGTGAGGGCTGCAATTGGCACCAGTGGGCGACGGCGGCAGAGTGAAGGTTGTCGGACAGCTGGTCTCAGCCACCAGCTCAGTGGTAATGCTAAAGCCGGCACGCGTCAAGGCATGCGAGTCGTACAGCTGGTATCCAGTGAAGCTGCCACCAGGGTAGGTGTACAGCGAGGTATGCACGAACACGCTGCTTCCAGTGAAAGGGACATCAGAAGTCGAGTGCTCAGCGTCCATGGACGACCGGAAGGCGTCCCAGTCAGTGACGGTCGCATCAATAGCGAGCCGTGTGGTAGTCACCGTCTCGCATGGGGTCGAGCAGTCCCAGTGGTCCTCGTGCCAGCTAGTAAATGTTGTCAGCGAGTCGTGCACACATCCATAGGGCTGATTTAAGCTTACGTGCAGTCCTGTCCGGAGGGTGACGGAACGACGGGAGTGCCTTGAGGTAGTGCCACGGCCAGACCGGCCAGGAGAAGAGGGGCTGTCCAAGAGCGTGCCATTGTTGGGTCCTCTGATCTCGCTGTGTAAGCTTGTGTCTCGAGATGAGGCTAACGAGTGACGGAAAGCTTCAAGCATCTCCTGCGCGGCGAACAGGAGGCTCTTATACATCCTCGCCTAAGCAGGCTCCCTGCTACCGCGGGCATGAGGACAAGGAAGCGTGGGAGCTTGGAAGCATGGGCAAGCGCGCCCTTCTCCGTCTGTTGGCGATCCCAGGCCAGCTACTCCCAGTTTCTCCTCTCGACAGACAAAGCCCTCCTTCTGCATTTGTCTAGCATGGCGCCTCTCACCTGGGCCGTCACAGGGCTCGCAGCCGAGGCTGTGGTGGTTGACAAGAACCTGCATGGTGAACATCAATATTGAGAACCCCTATGGCCCGGCACGATCCTCTTGTCGGCCGCGCCCCCAAGCACAACGGACCAATGCCGGTTCTCTTTCTATCTGTCGCCTGTCGGTCGGTGGCAACGTCCAGGATCTTGGCCTCCGTTGCTTGTTCGTCGGATGTCTACAGGTTTGGGTGAGGGATCTTTTCTCGCGGATGAATCCCACGCCAAGACTTCAAGCTCACATGGGCTTGAGCTGCAGGGGACCCTGCGCGGGATTTGTGTCCAGAGGCGGCGGCGACAACCTCTCAAGGTTGATTTGCGGTTTTTTGCCCGCAAGGCCAGTCAGCAGTCTACATGGATCTCGCTCGCAATACTATCGGACGAGCAACTGAGGACAAACAGACGGCGGGATGGAATTGAGTGCCTCATGTACCAGCAATAGCCGGCATGAAGCGCAGCGGTCCGGGGCCCTCCCTTGGGGATAGCCTCCCTCGACTGGCCTTCCTCATGAGGCGCGGCCGTATGCTATGGGAGGGACCCTGAAGATGAATCCAATCATACTGGCAGACAGGTTGCAGTAGTGAGACGACAACGACGAACTTTCAACGCCGGCGTCTCGCGATCGGCGGCAGAGACGAAAAGGAGAACGTGGTAGGCGATGTCGAAGAAGTATAAGTAGAGGGCCGTTTGCCTTGGAAGAAGTCAATATTTCCATCATCATCAGCTCATCATCTCGTACTCAACAGCCTCACAAGTCCCAATCAACAACATCAGCCAAAATGGTCTCCGTCAAGGTCCTCCTCGCTCTCCTCCCTCTGGCCCTTCAGGCGACGGCCCTCCCTTCTCCCCTCGAGGAGAACCACCTCGAGCGCCGTGTCTGCGTGCCTCCCAGCAACTGCTCTCCCATTGGAAACTGCGAGTTCTGCTGCAGGACGGGCGTGACGCCCAACAGCTCTAACTGCCACTCGCACGGTGAGACCGAATGTGGTGCTGGCCTCGTTCAGTACCACTGCGATTCCCACTGAGACTTCCCGATTTTGATGTAAGTTTCAGCTGTTCCGTGGGGAATAACTGGCAACTTCTCGAGTGGCTTGTATGACTGCTAACAACGACCAGTCCGTGAGGTCACGGTGGATGATTGGATGCCCAAGGCTCAGAATGGAGGAGAGACACTCGTTTGATTGGCGGTTGATTGGCGGTGGCATGAAGTTGTGATCACAGAGCATGCGTTCAACACGGGCTGCTTTGTTGTTTCGCTGCGGACTATACTGCCCATACAGTACATACTTCAATCAGAAATTTCGCCCACTCTGTTCCTCTTCACTGTGCATAGCCCGTATTGCTCGTACGTGTAGTAGCCTGCGCCTGTACGTACATGCAGTTGGCTGACAGAACCCGCATTCAAACCATCAGGGTTCTCACGTTCGACGCCGCCCGCACCACAGACCCGAGATGCGGCCAGGGAAGACAGACGATTATGCTTATTACACTGCGCGGGGGAAGGGGGACGTCAACACCGTAGCCCTGCGTCGCTTGACCTGGCGAACGAGGGGATCAGGCCATGGGTGGACCGGCGATCTACATTGAAGGCTGAACTATTGAAGCTACTAAAACGCAGGGCAAGGCGTAGTGCTCTCCATTGGCTGCAGGGAAACACTTGCTCATGAGACCAGAATACCTTGTGGTTAAGCTTATTCGAACGAAGATGTTGTCGGCGAGAGCGTGGGGGACCGGTCAGCCTGTGGGGACCCGGATGTCCTGAACCGATTTTTCCGTGTCGTTCTGGGGTTGTTGTCTGGTCCGTTCGTAAGCGACCAGCCTCCGGGGGCATGAGATGTTGTGAGCTCGGGTACCAACGTTGTCATCGCGCAGAGGGCGGGGACCAGTGGCATAGAGTTCCAGACTGGACGGCTGCAGCAGACATGCAATACAACAGGAGAGAAGGGGGAACATCATGGAAAAGAAACCGTTCATCATTCCCGTCCTGGCTGAGCCTGGATTCTACAAGACACGTCCTCCAAAGCCCCTACTTTATCACAACACGCGTGTGTGTCTAATGTGTACCAGTCCCGCCCGCTGTATGCCCTCCCAAGAAAGAACGCCGCGTATCGCCTATCGACCCATGACTCTGAAAAGGACGCAAAGCAGAGCCCTGCCGCCCGCTCACTTCTTCTCGTAGTAGTGGTCCTGCTGCTGCGCCCTGTCCTCGCCGACACCCCCCTCGACGCCGGCCTCGCCGTGCACGTGATCGACAGAGCCCCAGAATTCCTCCCTCTCCTTGAGGATGGCGTCGGCCCACTCTCTCGTCTCGGGCAGCGCAAACTTTGTGGCGACGTAGGCGAACTCGCCGAGGTCGACGCGGCCCTCGCCGCGGCGCTCGTACTCGACCATCTGCAGCAGCAGCTCCATCTTGTCGACGTCGTGCACGAACAGGCTGTCGATGGTCTGGGCGTCCTCGTACTCCTGCCAGATGGCGCGGATCTCGCGGCCGGGCAGGCCGCCGTAGACGCCGCCGAGGAGGCCGTCGGTGATGTGGTCCATCGTGTCGGCCTCGCGCCTGTTCTTCTCGGGCTTGGGGACGCCGTCGACGGGCGTGATGTCGCCGACGAGCGACTCGGCCATGTCGTGGATGAGGGCCATCTTCATGCAGCGCGCGAGGTCGAGGCGCGGCGCCAGGGCCGGCGGCGCGAGCAGCGTGATCAGGGACATGCGGTACATGTGGTCGGCGATGGACTCGCCGCGGGCGATGCCGAAGCGGCGCCAGCCCTCGCGCTTGGTCGTCTTGAGGCGCTCGAGCAGGTGGAAGAAGGGCAGCGGCGACGCGGTGCCTGTCGGGGAGGGGGCTGTCGTGGCGGCCGAGGCGGCGAGGGCCCCGGAGACGGTCCAGGGGCCTTGGACCTTGGGGGTCTCGACGTGGCCGAGGTCTGGAGGAGGGGGAGGGGCTGTGTCAGCAGACGAGGAGACGAGGACGGGGAAAAGAGAGGAGGATGTGGTGACGCACTGGCAATGTCGACTGTGCCGTTCTTCGGCTTCGCGGCGGCGATGGCATCTGATGTTGCGCTGGGCGACATGATGGTGGTTGGAGGTGGGTGATGGTGGGGTAGAAACAGGAAGTCTCAAGGTTGATATGGCGAGCAGAGCCGTAGAGAGAAGAGAGTCAAATACCGTGTACAATTCTCTAGCGACCACGAAGCAATTGATGATGTGATTTTGTTCTTATCAGATGCGGTCAAGTTTGTCAACAAACAGCCATAGCAGAGGAGAGGTGAGTGTCGAGATCCGGGCGTCGGCGCCCCCCACCAACCCCTCTAGCGCCGTCTGCGTCACCGCTTCTGGCGAGCTAGGTCAGGTCCCTTTCTTGGGCCAGGAACGTGCCGAGTCATGTTGTAGCCCACTCCAGAATCCAATCCCCATCAAGCGATTGCACACCACGTAGGGAGGGAATCTGGGACGGCACTACGGCATTACGAAGAACGTGTAGATTTGATGAACTTTGGTCTCAAATGAGAAGAGATGGCCTTTGCTATGTTGCAAGATTGTTTGGATCAAAGGTATTCCATCTGGATCCTAACCAATGTCTTGCTTTGTTGGGTGAGGAGGAGAGAGAGGATGGGATGGGCTGGGCTGGGCTGGCTGTGTCCATGCGTTATGATTTGTCACACATCTCCTGCTACCATCACAAGAGCCGGTATAGCTCAGTGGTAGAGCGTTCCACTCGTATTCTGCGATATGGAAAGGTCCACGGTTCGATCCCGTGTAGCGGCATTCAGTCCATCTGTAATACGCCAGTTCCTTTTTGCCTTTCCTGCGTCTGAACCACCTTCGCGCCTTTGTCTTGTTGTCCGATTTTGGTTAATTGAGTCTACTTGTTTAAAGCCGTCATCGCCTTGACTCCATAGTCGATTGAAGCCCTTGGCCCATGACGATGCAAAAGACTATATGAACCACTACAGACACATAATAGGCAGTCCTAGAACTTAAGGCATATCTTCGGGTCCCATCTGCTTTGCAGCGGTGTGCAGCGCAGTGCATGCTGGCTCCGAAGCGAAAGCAGCGTCCAAGGCCGGTGATGTTCGGTCACACCGTAGGTCGGCATTGCCATGACAGAACAAACACAATGAGTTCCACCGCCCGCCAGCCTGGCAGACTATTTTGCAGACATTACCATGTCTCCTTGGCCACGCAACATTGGTTCGAGCCTGGCGAGGTCTCTTACCCATCGCTAAGACACCATGTGCGAGGTCTTCGGCACGCATTGATGCTGCCCGAGACCCCACCTGTTGGTGCACGACGGCAGCGTATCGTCTTGGCCTTACATGCCTGTACTCGTGGATTCATCGCGACATTGTCTGGTCATGCCTGTACTTGTGAATTCATCGCGACATGGTCTGGTCATGCCTTCCTCTTGTTGTCAATCTGATAATCAATAATGACCAGCTGACCCCACGAACTGGGGCCTCCCCCTGGCTCTTTGGGCTCACTTTTTCTTCGAGGCTGCCTCCAGGGTCCCCCGATTATGGACCTCGCCGTGCCGTAAGAGGAGGCATCCTCGTTGTGACCCTGATGCTAAATCTGACGCACGGAATAAACATACAAGTTACAGTCTCTCCCCAGCGTAACCTAGATGTTCGATCATTGGCGAGGCAGAAAGGGAAAGAGCCCCTTCATTAATCAAGCTCTCTTGTTTACGCATCGCGGATTCGTGGTCCTACCTTGTGAGCCCACGATCGAGCAGCCGTTGAACTCCTGATATGGGCGACTAACGTCCAGACTCAGATCTCTGCGTAATCCCGCGCAATCCCTGCCCTTAGCTTTTGCTGCGATCCTTTCAATCGCAACGCCATTCGAGTTTACCGGGCCAGATGCCAATCAGCCGCTCAATCTCTCAGCCCCAACCACGGTGACATGGTAGCATGACGGGACGGATCACACCTCAGCATATCGACATCTCGAGCTCTCCTGGAGGGTACAACTTGCAGGCAACGGAGGCGAGCGCGGCGACGTGATCAGGGCGAACATCAGTCTGCAGACCGGGCATGGGCAATACGAGTGGGATGCTACCGAAGCCGCCACGGCGTTGCAGCAAGGGACGGATGGCGGCATGCGCGTCGCAGAAGGCAAGGAATTCTACTTCTTGGCTCGCTTCCAGTCTGTCGACAACCAACCCGGTACTGTTTCTGGAACGAGCGTTCAGAGCGGTAAATATGCCGTTGTGGGGTACGAAGAGGTGGGGAGTTCAGCTGCCGCCAGGCTTGGACGACCTTTGGATCTAGTCATGATGGCGGTCTCAATCATCGCTGTGGCTGTTCGGCTTTGACTGCCGCGTAAGTATGTCATTTCTTCGGAAAGCTATGCCCTGAGTGGCACTTCTTCAGCATGTGGGCCTGGACGTTCAACGCGCATCGTGCTATCCATAATGTTACGGCGCTCGTACTGTCACCATCCTTCATCTGACAATGTTGACATAGACTGAGTATTCTCGCGTGAACCACCCTGCGGACTGCAAATTTGTACTATCTGGACGAGTCATCCGAGGCCGGCCAGGCACATTCCTTCCATCCAGATTCTTCGAATTTGGGGCCCTTCAAACCAGCCACTGATGGGCAGTATGCCATAGTGATCGCTCTGCTCCTTTATGCCTCCCTTCGCCACTGCAGCCCGCATCCGTACTGAATGTCGTGTCCTCGTCCTTACTGCCGTCTTGGTGCCGGGCCTACATGGGCAAAATTTGCTCGTCGTTGCCAGCCTGGGTCTTGTATGTTGGAGGGGGCGGGGAAATGACCGAGTCGGAGACGTGGAGCCCGTAGGCGGGAGGGGGGAGGTGACTCGCGGGAGGGCGACCCTCGGGAAGCTGACTCTCGGGACAGATCTGAGGCGGCTGCAAAGTCGGTTCCTGCACGACAGGCTTTGGAGCACGCCTAAAGCCTCTAAAGATCCAGGCGAGACTGATGGCTGCCTTGGTCCGACAAGTGCGGTCCATCCATGCAAAGGGGGTACACAGCTGGTGCCTCTGCCTTTTTCGGTACTTTGGGAAGCAGATGATTCCAAACAGGACGAGGTTCTCGACGGCCAACGGGAGCAAGAAAACAAGGCGAATGAGTACCCAGGAGACGAGGATAATGAGGCCGCTGAGGATGCGCAGATGGTTGTTCTGCGGGAGCACGAAGTTCGTGGCAATCTGGTCCTCGAGAATGATGCGGGCCGTAAAGCAGCAGAGGAAGCCTGCGACGGCACCTGCAACCAGGACCACGGGGACGATTATCTCTGGATGGCCCCCGAGGGTATGGTCGCGTCTCCTGGCACGACCATGGCGATGGAGGCGGTGGCCGTTGTAGTACCCCCGTTCGGGCTGTGATTGTTGGCCCGGTAGCTTCGCGCTGGTATTGCCAGAATGATGGAAAAGGCTGGACAACGTGTCCAGGACGTTTTTAAGTGCCTCCATGGGATATTTGATGGCAGATTGATGTGTTATACGAGGCTCTCGGCGCGATTCAAGGCTCTCGAGCGGACTTTGGCGTGTGAAGCTGCCCAGACGTAGAACGCAGCTCGATGCGATGGCGAATCTGAATTGTCTCGAACCGAGTTTTCGAGTTTTCGTGACGAGTCGAAGTGCAGGTCTGAAATGTGGGCGGAGAGGAAAATCGTCGTCGATTTTGTGTCTGTGATAAAGTTACGAGCGACAGCCACAGAGGTGTGCGAATCGTCCAGCCACCAAGTCACGCCAAAGTCAAAGTTGGCTTTTTCAGTCATGGAACGCCAACTGAATATGAACGAAGCGCCATTCCATGTCTCCTCAGTCATACCCCTAGAAGCCACTCTGCCACAATTCCTTGCTGTATCCCTCGGTCAGACGTTCGTCTTCGCCGTACGTCTGATGCCAACCGCTGAAGCCGAGATCGAGGACGTAAACCGTCTGATTCGCGAGCTCAGCAGGATTTTCTCTTCGCAGCATCTGATCGCGTTCGCGGAGGTACTTGAGTGCCGCGCTTGGTCCGCGCTGTTGTGAGAGGGCGCAGTGGAACACGACTGTCTTCTTGTCTTGCATACGTCGGACGAGGGTAGGCATCATGACGTCGATTGTCGCGAAGGGCATGTTGATACCACCCCTGATGTGGCCACCAAGGTAGTCTGCGTGATGGAGCGTCAGTAAGCTTTTATGCGTGAAGGCGAACTGTCACAATAGCTCACCATCATCGCGAACGTCAACAACGGCGACGGTTGGGTCCGTAGCAGCGGCTTGCTGTGCGAGCAGAATCTCGGACAGGTCTTTGGCAGAGATACGCTGCAGGTTGGCGAGAGATGTGGTGGACATGTTTCGCGTGAATACTCTCAGTGGGAAAAAAGAGAGGGGCATTAGATGAGGGGGAGACGGCGTTGTGATCGCAAGTATTCGCGAAGCTGGTCGCAGCTTTCTCAGCTGCCATCGATTGACCCGACGTCTGGAGTGGGGTCCCGCTGACATAATCCATCTACCACAGCAGATTGGGACACAATCAGTGTCTAATGCAACTTGTTGACATGAACGCTGGACATGTTTGGGCAAACATCTCTTGGTCATAAAGCCCGTGGCCTCGCGCCAGGCTACGTAGCCAGAAACTATACCTAGCTTTCCAAAGGTCATCTCACATCTCAGAGCTTTTATGTGTGCATAGCTTCTCTCAGGTTTCCTGTCTTGTCGCGAAAACGCGCGATGGAGCTACGGTTCTACGTTGCCGTGTTGGCAAAAAGTGCCTAGCAAAGGAAACATCATGGCTATACAAGCGGCGCCCCTTTATCATGAGAGAGGTTGATCACGAGCTCTTTCCAGGGCCAGCTCTGTCCGCCAGCATCTTTATTGAGTCATGCCATGGGTAAGGGTTGGCTCCCACCAAGGCGTTTGGACTCGTTACGATTCATTTCGGCATGGTTAAGCGATCGTGAAAGAACAATAACCCTGTCTGATGTGGCTTCAGGCAAGGCTTGCCAGCAGACCATTTCAATCTCAGCCGCCACTCCTATTATTTCCACAGGCGCCGTAGGCGCATCCATGATGATTCTGAGTTTCGAGCCTACAAATCAGTGTAGACACGGAAGATGGGAAACCGGATGTAAAGTTGGCTAGCAAATGTGCAGCGCTGTCGAAGATCGGCATCTCAACAAGGACGATAGCAGATGCACGTCCTCGAAATTCAATCCTTCAGTTGTTGACAGGCATATGCCACGTTGACCGGCACTCCTCTTCATAATATGTCGGTCGCCAAACCAGCCATCCCTGGCTGACATCCCCTGATGCAACCCCTGACAACAGGCCCCCTGGCAGACCGCTCCTCTGGCCCATCACGGACTTCGTGGAGCGGAATTCGGACTTGGTCTCTGCCACTTGGAGCATGCACATACCAGGTTGTCGACCTGCCGCTGACCAGGAACAGCCCTCAGATCGGGGGCTGAAGGTGAAGGCCGGGGCGGGAAATGGCAAACACTCAATGTCACCTTGCCTTTCTCGTGAAACATCGTCTTCGGCCAAGAGGAAAGTGGGATCGCCGCTTCACGTCCCTGTCAAGCACTATGCAAGTCGCTCGATTCACTGCGCTATCGAGCCCGTCGCCGGCAGTGAGATAGCCACTACTAGATGGATTGCCTTATTTCGATCCTATTGTCTCACTCAAGGCTGAGATCCCCGCATTCAGGGCAAGACATGTCGGCATGTCGTCGACATGGCCACTGGGGCCGGACGTGATAGCCAGAGAACTATAGGCATCTAGGCCGTGGTCAGAGCGGCCGCTGACTGCGGGCTCGAGGCATGTCGCAAGTGGCTGGGCTGATCTGCACCGCTAGGAAACTCAAGCATGCCAGCGATCGTCGCATGCAGGTGCTGTGCGCCCTACACCTTGCCTACCTCTATGGGTAACCACGTCGCTCGGTGTAGCAGAATCGCGCCTCTGGCCATAGCCTCTCAGCGGGGGCGACGCTTTCAGTCCTCTTGTCCTAGAATCTGCCGCCACACGACTGCGTGCGATTATCCACAGTAGACGAGGAGTGCGTTTGGGTGAAGTTTGCTCCAGTGTCAGAAGGACATCGACTTCAACACAGAGCTGGCAGTAGGAGGGAGCTTGTAGGTGGTGGTAATCCATGTCATTAGGGTGCATTGTTTGTTGTGGCATATCAGCCTGTGTACTGTTCATGTGGCCCGAGTAAATATTACAACACCGTTCGTCGCATGTGTGCCTGCAAAGGAAAAATATCAAACGCTTCGCTCCTCCACTGATAATGATGACCCCTTTGTCCTCGTCTCGACCGTCCAGGTTGTCGTCTTCTTCGAGCCGTCGAACGTCAGCTCCTCCTCGCTGTCGCCGGCATCGCCGCCCTTGGACTTCCAGATCGACCCCCTTTTGCGGTCCAGTGACCTCTTGCGTTGCGCATCCTCTGACTCTCCACTCGCGCCACCAGTCCTGGCCTCTGCTTCGTCGTTGAGAAATGTCGTCAGACTGAAAGGGCCCTTGCCACGGCGACTGTCTCGGCTCTCATCTGCTTGATTGGCCCAGCCCATGCCTGAGGGGATTCGCTGTTGGCCCGAAACCTGGTAGCCGGACGGGTCGTTCGTGGAGAGGCCCATGGCGCGGGCGACGAGACGGAATAGAGGGCGGAGCGTGGCCAAGCTGCCGGCGATAATGGCGAGGCCTGATTCAGTGGTTGACCAGATGGCAATGTCGACGGTGGCGTCTGTTCGTGTTAGTCCTTGTTGCGTGTCAAGTTTGGGAGGAGCAGGCGGAGACAGAAGGCATACAGAGAAAGTCGGGGTTCTTGAAATCCTTGACGTATGCAAATCGCACAACGACGGCGGAACTCGCCCTGTGTGCTGTCAGCTTCCAACCCTCGACCATTGTGTCACTCACAGCATGCTGCTACTTACACACACGCCATCATGACGATGGGAACGAGAGCAAGACGAGTCTTGCGGTCCATGCTGAGGCTCATGATGAGGAAGACGGGAAGAATGGCAAAAGTAAAGTCGCAAATGACGCTGCAGGCGCTGTAGAGGTAGGTCAAGGCGATGATGACTTCGATGTTGACGCAGGTGCCGTTGGCGGGGCTCTTGTCCCAGAAGAAGGACACGGGGTTGCACTGAAAGAGAGTAACGAAGAAGAAGACGGCGCCGGTGAGAACAGTGACGCCCATGACACTGTAGATAATCCAGATGTCGAGTTTCCGTACGGTGATGCGGAGGAGGAAGTAGCCGATGGATATTTTGGAGGCGATCATGCTGAGGCAGTACCACAGATAGCAGAACCACCAAGCCTGCATGGCCTTCTGTTCATCGGCCGTTTCCAGATCCCAGTGGTGCCGTCCGGTGCCGTACTTGATGCCCACTAAAACGGATGTCACGAAGAGAGTAAAAAAGACCTGCTCCGTATCAGTATGGGAAGGAAACCCGTGCCATGGCAGAGAGTCATGTTTACCATTGCGATCCCCATAAAGTAGTCATCGACGCCGAAATTCTTGATCAAGAATATCCGAACATAGCAGCGCAGCAAGATCGAAACAATGGCCGCAACGAGCAAAGACACAGCAACGGCCTGTAGGGTAGGCCCGCGGTTTTCAATAGCCGCCATGGTTCTCGGAGTGTGCTGTGCTATGGGTGCACGTCGACGGGCGCGTTGGACGAGGAGGAAGGTTCATAACAGAAGCCACGAAGGACCCAGTCCCAAGGCCGTGGAACCTGGCGTCGCCAGGGTCTTATTGTTCCTCACTCGTCCTGGTCCTCGGTCCACAAGACTGGTTCCCCTGATCGTCCTAGCTGGGCAGTTCTAGCCCTGTGGCGTCGTCGTCCCCGCTGTTCTACTTCGTCCCTATTTACTACTACACGGGGAGACGGAGGAGGGAAGGGGGCCAATTTCGCCCTGACCCAGCCCAGAACAGCATTAGATCAGCAATTATCGGGCATCTGCCACACGTGGATTTGGGGATCTTAGCCTCAGCCTCAAGGACATGTCTCGACCTGCAGACAACGGGAGTTGAGAAAGTCAAAGAGGGGCAGTGAAGGCAGGGTATCCCCTCTAGGCAGGTTCTAGCAGCCGGTCTAGGAAAAGCCGCGGTCAGCGGCGTCTGTTGAGGCCCCATAGGCCCCATCGCCCTAAGCATGTAGCGTACGGGAAAATGTCTACACGAGGAACAGGCGACCGAGTAGTCTGTCTGAGGACCACGCACTAGGGGGCACCGCTTCGAGGTCGTCGGAGTACTCGGCGCCCTTGGGAGAGCACTGGGAGTACTTTGGAGTTCCTCACTCGCAGGCCAGAACCACTTTTGATGTCTTAAGTCGCGGGACCCCAGTTACTGCCGAGGTCTCCAAAGGGCCGTCTTCACTTATACCCAGTCTGTACCCACTTGACCATGTGCCCGCCAATGCGAAGGCAATATGACGGGTCAGTTCTTGCGTGCCGAGTCATGCGGGCTACCCGGGAGTTCGGCTATTGCGTTAGTACGCACAGGTACCTCCTGTCATCTTTCGATGAAAGGTACGTGCTGCTTCGTGCAAAGTCGGCGCTTTTGGTGGGGTTTGCCACTTAATGCCAACCTATGCTGGTGACGAAATCTCATCGCCGCCGCCCTGAGAATTTGCTTCGGGGTGTGTACCGTCTTGGGGTCAATGTGAGTCTCCTTACTTTCCTCGCTGCTCGAATGAGTCGAACAATTCAGAGTTTTACTCGTACCTGGCTCTGTTCCTCAGCTCGCTGCCCTGAGGCTACGAGAGGCAATCTGCTGTAAGCCGTGGCTGGGGTCATCGTCAAACCCAATCAGGCGGGGGGCCAGGTCCCGAGAACCAGGGACCGCGCCGCTTGTTCTAGATATGGTCATGTGCAAGTGAGCCCATCTCAGGTGGCTTTTTCGCTGGGACGACAAATTTTTGTCTCACGCAAGTAGACGGTGAAGGTGAGCCCATGGCTGGTGAGCTTGAGACAGGGGTGGTTGCATTGCCCTCATTCCAGTAGTCATTTTCGCGCGAGATCGCTGATGATCGCTGCAAGAGTACACAGTCGCGCCGTACCGCATTCCTTTGTCTTCCTTGTCTGCATGGCCAAACGGCGACAGTGAATGGTCGGGATTGTTTGAACCTACCTTGAGGGCGTGAAAAGAGTCGCTAAATTTTTACGATATTGGCTTCTGCCATTTTTGTAGAGAAGATGAACGAGGGCCAATTGAAGTGCGCTCGCTTTCGCTTGGGTTCCGAGGACCGTCTTAGAGCGATCGCATGTACTATCAACGATATTCCGATCCGCTCCCATGATGTGTTTTGATGGCTTATGCTTCAACTGCCGAGTGAAGCAGAAAATTGCCCATCACCATTTGGACCCTGGAGCAAACAAGCAGCAGACTAGCAGCAATGATTGTGTCTTTGTCTGCCCAAATCCGGAGAAAGGAAAAGGGGAGAGACTTTGGCTCATGGGAAATGCCAGCCAATGATCTGATGACTGGCCAGGCTTACGGTCTGTAGCGCGCTGGTACGAAAACAATTGACGACTGATCAGCAAGCTGCCAAGCCGTTAGACGCACTGCTATTGAGATCGTCTGTCATTGGGGCATGGACCAGCGAATCCGCCGTCCACATAGTTCTGCACGAGCGTTGGCGCAGGAACAACGTCAGGCCGCAAGCTCGTTTCTAGTGTCTACCCGAGTTCAGTCCAGATTCAGATGGGCTGACCTTTGATGCTCCCAGTTCATCAACGAGATCATTGCCAATGTGCCATGTTGCCGCCACGTTCTTTCATGCGAACGCACCACAGTGTGGCGCTTCCACTACCTCGATGCGGGCGGTCGTACTTCCGCAATAGGCGCCAGGTCCGGAGACTGGGGTTTCGAGGAGGCCAGTGGCCGGAAGGTGGGCTGCCGAGACGGCGTTCAGGAAATGCCTGTCATGCACGCACGCATACTGGTTCGCTCGCTGGCAGTGGCGTAAAGACTGATCGATCTCGGTCTCTACTGGGACCTGTCACGCCTGACTACTTGACTGGTCAACGGGTAATTCGAGCGGAGAATTGACGGTGTATAGTCGATTTCTGCGTCTTCCAGGGGGAAGAGTGAGATGCAGCAGAGTGACGTGACATCGGAGATTTCTAGATACCACTCTGACTCGATTGAGTCGAGGCCACTGACGCTGCCAGGACAAAGTCAATCTGGCCAGAATGATCGACGACCGATGATGGCGTTGTGGCCCTCTTCCGACCTGAGGTACTGCGTGTGTGTATGTGTGAAGATGTGGCTTTAGAGGCGACTCTTAATGGTCTTCAGACCCTCGTCAAGCCAGACCGAACGGTCAGGCCTCCAAAGCTCCCAAGTGGCTAATAGCAGACGGATGCTATTGCATCAACGATGCCTGATCGCTGCTACGCTATTGAAACAAAACGATCAATCCAAAGACAAACACACATGAACCATCCTACGCCGAAGCTGTACCGTCTCGTGCGAAGAGATAGCCCAGTTGGCTATTCCTCCCAATCCTGTCTCGGATGGCAGTGTGGCCTGAGCTTCCCATCGATTGACCGACTCTCATCTCGGTTTGCAGGATCTTCTCCATGCATACATGCCAGCTTTCTCTCGTGTGCAATTACTGATATGCTCGCTTGGAGGTATACGGGTTAAGCACCTAGCTGTCGCCAACCCTTGTCGTTGACGCCTTCTGACTCCTAGTCACGCCCCCTTCTCAACACCAACACCAGACGAGTTTCAGAGTCCCTGTCATCGCAACCCTTCAGTTGGGCCAAAACGTCAAAGCTCAGTCTTCAGCAGCGAGTGCAGCCCCACCATGCTCGCGTCTCCCAGCCTCTGAGAACGGCTGGCCTTTGCAACGTGCATTGCGGCGTTGGCGCGGACATGACGTCCATCAGGCGGTACCAAGCAGATGAGGGGTTCGAGGCCTGCGCAGCGCGTGGCATAAGGTGACATCCGGCCGCCAAGCAAGCATGATCGACAAAACCGCAACCCCTGTGGTGTTTGGTCGTACAGGTGTCAACCAGAAAGGATGGAGAGCATATCGAGGCAAACCCAGCCAGTCTCGTCATGCCATGCAGACCTGAGCACGTTTGTCAAGCGATTGACGTGAGGAGCGAACGGCACAGACGCGTCCCGGATCGTCACGATGACTCTCGGATGCCCTATTCTACCTGGGTAGTCACCATCAGTCATGCCCTTTCGTCTCCGAGGCCAGTTCTTCTCAGCTTTCTTCCACCCACACCTCATGCGAGCGCGCTTTGAGAAACCGGGTTGCGCCACGACACCCTCACGCAGCATGATCGCATCACACCTGAGGTCGATCCCTTGCATCTAATTCCTAATTTCCTACCGTCGTAGGCCTAGGGTTTATACTTTATCACCCACATGGCGAAGTAACGCATCGTGAAACCCCTCCCCTTCCCTTTTCCATATTCGATTCTTTCAACCACCACAGGCCGGGTGTGTTGGTGTACGCTTTGCTTCGGTTCTCCCGCGCTTGAAGCGCAAAAGCTGCTGGTTCAGCTTCGACGATAATACCTTTGGATGAACGTTCATCGTACGGTGCAAGCCTAATTCTCAAGGCATTCGACGACACACATTTCGCGATAGTTCTTCGAGCAGCGCAATATAGCCTCGCGCAATGGACAAGGCCACGAGGATAAGCACTATCGCGAAGCCCGCCACGAGCCATGAAGCGCAACACAAGGCAAGAGTAGTGTCGCTTGACATACCACCACCAGTTCCGCCTAAAGATCCGCCTAGACCAGCGACGAGCTCGACGACTCGATCCGGGCCCGCGACAAGACCGGTCGCGAATGCTACAGCGAAGCTCCAGGGTGCGACAATGTCGTCGAGGCCAACTACCAGCTCGACAAGACCCGGCACATCTTCCACACTCGCGGGAACCATGTCCTCGATACAAGGGGCGGGATCAAAGATCAAAGCAGGACTACGGCCGCTCAAGCTAGCAGCACTCACGTCGCACCCGACGCGTCCGATGCCGACCATCTCGCGACCACAGACAGCTTCCAACACGACAGTCGCGAGTCCGGTACGGCCCATGACAAGTTCGACGCGCAGGTTTTCTCGTTCAACTACGATGACTGGAAGGACAATCAAGTATGGCTCGGGCAGATACGCCACGACAGAACTTAGCCCTCAGCCGTCCGATGATGAGGATGATCCTCTGGTAAGGACCACCCGTACTCATTTTTTTCTAGTAGGCCTTCTGGACTGACAATCGTCCAGAACTGGCCTCTGTGGAAAAAAGACCTCAATCTCTTCGCACTGCTCGTGACAGTCTGCCTCGTGAGCGCCATGAAGACAGCCTTCATCCCCGTCGCCGCCAAGCTCGCCATCCAGTTCCAGGTCTCGCATACCGCCATTGCATCTCTAACAGCCGTTCCCTTTATCTTTTCGTCTATCACAGGTCTCGCCAGCGTGACCGCTTCCAAAATCTGGGGCAAACGCCCCGTCTATCTCCTTTCCATGGTATTTCTTTTCATCGGCTCCTTGTGGAACATGCGCTCAACCACCTTCGGCGCTGCCCTCGGCGCTCGCATCTTCCAGGGCATCGGCTGGGGCGCCTTCGATACGCTCATTCTCAGCTCGATCCACGACACGTATTTTGAGCACCAGCGCAACCCGCGTCTCGCCGCCTACGACATCTTGCAAGCCGCGACAGCCTGGGGGCCTCCGCTGCTCAGCGGCGTCGCCATGCGCAACGCGAGCCGCTTCGAAATTCACTTCGAAATTTTGAACACGTTCTTCATCGTCGCCATCCCGCTTCTCGCCTTTGCCGCGCCTGAAACGGCGTACGACCGCTGGTTCATCGGCAACGCGCTCCCTTCCGCCCGCACGCCGACCTGGACGACGGCCCGCCGCTCGATCGGCAAGTTCAACCTCCACGTGCCCAACACGCACGAGGCGAGGCAATATCTGCGCACCATGAACCCGATCTCCTCCTTCCGAGGCTTCGTCGACAACCGAACCCTCCTGCAGGGACCCCGTGCTCTCATCGCCCCGACCACCGCACTGCTGGCGCTGGCCACTTTCCTGCCGTACTCGGCTCTGTGGGCTATAGCGCATGTCGTCTCGCCGCTCACGGCCGCCATCCTCGACGAGGCGCAGATCGGTTTCCTCCTGTTGGCGCCCTTCCTTTGCGGCGTTTCGGCCGCCGCCCTCTTCGCCTTTTGGCGCCGCAAGGCCAGGAAGGACTTTACCCTGCTGAACCTCGTCGCGGCCCTTGGCGTCGGCACCGTCCTCGCCGCCATCGGAATCCTGTCATTCGGCCTCGAGATCCACGGCAGCCGAAACCTCTCGTTCAAGCTGCTGTCTGTGCTCGCCGGCTTTCTGGCTGTGGGTGTCTACGTGCTCAACGCCCTCGCGCGACCTGTCATCTACCGGTCTGCGCAATACACGAGCTCGAACCTGCACGTTTGCTTGCGTAACGTGGCCGACATGGACGCCGGGCTCGTGTGCTGGAAGAACCTGTTTGCAGCATTTTTCATACTAGGGGTCGCGAGCGCCGTGGAGGCCCGAAGGTCCGCAGGCCTGCGATCGTCCGTCATTGGCATTGGTGTTTCCCAGATCTTTGTTGCCCTTTTTGTTGGTACCGTCTGGTGGTTCATGGACGAGAGGCTCAGGCGGTTGGACGGGCGAGTAATGGGACTGGTCGACCTGGGCATGTTGAAGAGAGCCGGCAGCTTCTTTGATGAGGATTAACTTCACGCAAGCACCATTTAGTGTTTTGCGTGTGAGGCACATTTAAGTTTTGCCACCACACTTTTACAGAGACACACTTTTACAGAGACTTTTCTACTATCATCACCACTCATCCTGCTCCTTCTTTGTTGAATCTGCATTGCGGGTGTCACTTGCAACCATCAGCGATAGCTAATACAGCCAGAATAAAGCCCTGGCTCTCACGAATAGGTATAGGAGGACTGCCTAGGTCACGGGCAGCCGACCATATTTCGAGCGCATATCGTGATCACTCACGGGATGCAACATCTTCGGAAGCTCCCGGAAGAAAGGTGAAGCAAAGAACCCTTTACCAGGCGTGTCCATATCCCCTCCGAAAATAGCGATCACCATGAAGGTGTCATGATCCCTGTTCAGTCGTCCCATGTCTCGAACGCCCCAGATCGGTTTCATCTCGTCCCTACTTCAGGCCGGCATCCGAATGCAAGGTGCCCCGCACTCGGCCGTCTACTTTTTAGCTCTCTGCTCCCGCACGCTCTGCAGCTCTTGCCAGTATCCGTGGGGCACAGCGAGCAGGAGCTCGGAGCCGAAGTTCTTGATGCATCGAATCGGGTCTTCGAGCCTGCCATCGATCAGGCAGTCCAGGTCACAAAGAATGAAATCGAGCCAAATTCTGCGAAGCAAGCTGCGCTCTCCCTCTGGCGTGTTCGCCCAGATGTACCGCGTCGCCTTGAGGATAAAGTCTTCGTCATAGAACTCCCAAGGCAGGCGTATGAGGCAGTTGCGCAACTTGTGGAGACAGATTTCCTCGAGGCTCTGAATTTCGCACCGCTTGGCTAGGGTATACAGCTTCATGTGGCGGAAGATGATGATCGAGCATTTTGTCTTGTTGATGGGCTTGTGCTCGGCGTCCTGATCACCAGGAGAGTAGCCGTCAGGTGTGTCGTGGCGGCCCTCGACGAAACGAAGACCGTGATAGTAGATCGCGCCCTTTTTGCCTGTCCAACTGTCAATCCACTCCTTGAGATTGTAAATGTCGTCATCGTTGCCGTCGTTGGCGTGTTCGGGGAAAATATCGGTCGTGTAGTCGGTCCCGTAGGCAAACTCGACGAGGTCTGCGAAAGTCGTAGGTTCCACGTCCTCCCAGAGGAACTTATCTACGACGTTACCTTCGCCTCCTGCCGTGATATTCTCACGCATTTGTGATGAGAGAGGGAGCAGAATGCATTCATGCACTCGGAACTCTTCGTGCTCGAGACCGATCTTGAAGAGAACAATGGGAGATTTGAGGACCCTGGCAGGCGTCAGCATGGCTTTTCAAAGGCCTCCCCATTGTATGTGAGAAATCATGGCATCGCGGAACCTACGATCCCATGTTGGGCTTGCGAATATTCGCCATTGTGAATTGCTGATCGTGTGCGTCCGAGAGGTGATTTTGTCTATGTGTATGCGTTCGATAACTTGCAGAATGAGGCGTGGTTTTGAATTTAGATCGTGATGTTGTGATGCCTTTTCCACAGTATTTATAGTGTGTAAATATAGAAAAGGAGGTCAGAAGCACGATGGACTTTTGATGGACTACTTTGAACTGGCGTGGAAACTGGCAAGTACGCAGTTGAATAGGAGGCAAGGCATGAGCCTGCTATAAGACGTACCCATCAACGGCTCTTGCCATGTATGCATGGCAGATATTACGGAAAGTGACCCTCTCTATTTCACAAACACCATGTTGGTCATGGTGAATGCGTTGGGGGAATGCACACTCCAACATCAACTACGTGGTCATCCATATCACATAGCTGGAATGTATGTTCAGGAACCGATTGGAAGTATCAATAATGCAAGAAAAATGAATGGCCTCAAAGATGAAATTCCACTGAGAGTAATGAAATTAGAATATCACTAGCTTCTTATGCCTACGGTAAGCGCTCGACATTGTAATGCTGGTGTCCATTGCATGAAGGCAACTCTATACTGCTGGGGACTTGTATTGCAAACAAGCCCCCCGCTCACAAACGACTAATTATTGATTGTTGTAAGGTTCTTGTAGCAGTGAGTACTAATTCTTGGTATAATGATATGCTTTTGCGCTGCAGTCCTGTTCATATCAAGTTATAGTCGATACCATCGTCAGAGAATGATATATGAAATCCGGCTTGTAGAGTCGTATTCACAAGCAAGACACAAACAGTCACAGTGAGCAAGTAAGTAGTAGGCAACCTGTATATACTCGAACCTAAAGCGAAGGTACATGTGCAAGAAAGTTATATATGTGCAAGAAACCACAACCAAAGATATGTGCATTTTCAACTCGTGTCTCCCCATCATCATCGTCATGCCAGGGGGCCGGAAGGAGGCCACCGTCTCGCGCTCCCGCTACCTCGCCGCCGGGCTCACGCCGGCGCCGCCCGAAGACGGCGTGCCGCAGAGCCGGAGGTGGAGGAGAACGAGGAGGGGAAGGAGGAGAGGGGGCGCGAGAGGCGGAGGACCAGATAGCCAGCCCCGGAACCGCTTCTTCAGCAGGAAGAGGCGCGCGCGCGGCGAGCCGCTTACAGGCACTGAGAGTACCACTGGTTCTGGGCCTGGCAGGTAGAGCCGGCGGCGCAGACGGTAGGGCCGGTCCAGCCCTGGCCACCGCACTGGCCCCACTTGGGAGCGGTAGGGCCGCCGGTGGAGGCGGTAGTGGTGGTGGGAGGAGCGACGCGGGTGGTGGTGGTGGCGGCGCGGGTGGTGGTGGTAGGGGGAGTGACGGGGCGAGTGGTCGAGCTGGGAGGGGTGACCGGGGGGCTGACGGCGCCGGAGGTGTTGTGGGTGGAGCCGATGGGGCCGAAGCGGATGTTGGACCAGGTAACGGAGGCGTTGGGGTGGTTGCGGATGACATCGGCGGGGGTGCGGCCAGTCTCGGGGCAGCGGCCACGGGCGACACCGGGCTCGCCACGGCGCTCAGGGGGGTAGATGGAGTCGAGCCAGAGCATGTTGGCGAAGTGGTCGGCCCAGACGGACAGGACGAGGACCATGGGCAGGCGGTAGGCAGCGTTGAGCTGAGTGTGTCCGCCAATCTCGTCGTGGCGGTTGCGGTCACCGAAGATGGTGGGGTAGGCCGTGCAGAACTCGGGGGTGATGGCGGCGTTGAACTGGGTCAGGCCGGCGAGAGTGGGCTTGGGGGGGACGATGACGTTGCCGTTCTGGATGAAGACCTGCTCAGAGACGTTGTCACGGAAGCGGGAGATGACAGTGAACTTGGAGCGCGTGTCAACGGTCTTGCCCGTGCCGTAGAACTCGGTGTTGCCGAGGCGGTAAGGGTTGTAGTCGCAGCCGTTGGCGTCGCAGCCACCGCCGTAGCGGTCCTCGGAGTAGGTACCACCGCAGGTGGTGTCGGTGCAGACGTGGTAGCTGTTGTTCTTGCAGGCGTGGGGGGTGAAGGCGAACGACTCGCGGTTGGACTCCCAGATGTCGATCTCGGCGCAGCAAGATCCCATGGCACCAACACCGGCGTTGTCGTCGGTGGGCGAGGGCTCCCAGCCGACAATGTTGCCCTTGCCGTTGATGAACTTCAGGTCACGGGCGCACTGAGCGTCACAGTAACCGGTACCGTACTTGGCACCAGCCTTGTTGTTGGGCTCGTCAGAGAGACCACCATCGGACTTCATGGGGACGAGGTAGAGGGCCGAGTTCATGCCGCAGGGGATGGTCGACAGGTCGACGTCGAAGGCCAGCTCGTTGTTGTTCAGGGTGAACATCTGGTACTTGGACTCGTTCTCCATGAGGTAGGTACGCGAGCCAATGTTGGTGCCGAAGTTGTGCTGGGTGACGAACTTCAGGGTGAGGGCATCGCCGCTGGTCGAGACACCGTAGGTGGCGCCGTAGTTGGCACCCTCGACGGCGCAGTTCTTGGCGCAGTCCTCGGCGCCGGTGCAGAGACCGGTCCAGTCGTTGCCGTCGAAGCAGTTCTGGTAGCCGCCGACGTTGTGGGCCCAACGCCAGTTGGCGTCGATGACGATCTCACCGTTGACGGTAGCACAGTTGCTGCCGTTGGTGCCGGTGCAGCGCTTCCAGGTGATCTTGGGGTGAACCTCGGGCTCCTCGGTGCCGACCTGCTGGGCCATGGCCACGGCCAGCAGGGAGAGGCCGCTGAGAATCGCAGTCTTCATTGTGACGGTTGGAGTGGTGGGAGATGGGAGGAGAGGAGGAGAGTTGTTGGAGTTGAGGATTGTTGGATGTGGTTGAGAGACTGAGGATGAGGATGAGAGGTGGGAAAAAAGAGTGATTGTGGTGCCGGATTTCCGTCCTTCTTTATATCACGATGATCACTGCCAACATGCCGCTCATCTCGCCGCTTTCAACGCGCTCCAGTCAGTCGCCACTTTTGCCTCGCGGCGGAGAGTGGCCATCCGAGCATCTCGTGAGTTTGCCTCCCCCGCGGCCGCCCCTCCGTGAGCCGCACAGGCTTGTTCCTGTCCCGTCAGGGGTAAACATGTGAGGGGGCGCTCCGGGGTGCCGCTCTGTAAGGAGACGAGCCCAGATGACATCGTGGTGTTTCCCCGCGATTCACACCCCCAGCTTGACCCAGCCACGGCCCGTCGTGGCCTCGGCGGCTCGCAGGAATCTTCATCCGCAAACCCATAGTGCTTTGCCCCTCATGTGTGGGCCGGTAGCTACCCCAAGGCGAGCCGGTTTCCCCAGTTTGACGGGTCACGAGAGCTTGTTCGCGCCAATTTCTCCAGTCTTCTTGCGGCTCGACCTGTCGGTTCCCGGATGACTGACCATGGGTCCAGGTCCTGGACAGACTGTGGGTGAAGTGCCTTGATGGTCACACACGTCTGTAGGCGAGGTAGGATCTCATGCTCGCAGACGCCGTCTCGTCGATCCGGGTCATCCCTTCGAGTGATAGACTTACACTCCCACGTGTTGCATCGACCCCCTCTTCTCACACAACTCTCCTCGCAGCTCAGGAACAGGCACCCTAAAACGGGGAGAGGTGTCTTTAGAGTTGGCCTGGGTACCTGGGTAGTAGCCACATG